AGGGGCAAAGAATCCAGCCCTGGCAGTGTTATGAAATGTGAACATATGGCAGGACCAATATGTAGCTCATATTCATGCTTAGCTCTGCTATCTTCAAGAAACAGTTACCAGAGTTTTGTTTTTCTCCAGTAAAGTGGCGCCCAGCATATTGGTATTCTCCCACAGCCTGGAAATAAAACAAAACCCACACACAAAGAGCTTCTACAATTAGACCTCAGGGAATAATGCAGATAGAAAGTTAAACAAAGGAAAGCAAAACTTGTACATAACAGCAAACAGCTTAGGAGCAAGGCAGGGGCCAGCAAACCTTTTCAGTAGGGGGCCGGTCCACTGTCCCTCAGACCTTGTTTGGGGGGGGGGCGAACTATACAGTGGTACCTCGGGTTAAGTACTTAATTTGTTCTGGAGGTCCGTTCTTAACCTGAAACTTCTTAACCTGAAGCACCACTTTAGCTAATGGGGCCTCCTGCTGCCGCCGCGCCGCCGGAGCACGATTTCTGAGGTTTTTAAGCAGAGGTATTGTATTGTACGAGAATCCTGCATTGTAGAGGGATAGAATAGATGACCCTGGAGATCCCTTCCAGCTCTGCAATTCTATGATTCTACACACACAAACCACATATTTGACATAATATGTACGAAAAGCTTCTTCACACTGGCTTCATAAAGAGAAGCAATTCCTCATGACTTTCGCTTACGTCTCTTCAGTAAAGTCTGTTGAATCAATGCCACTGCATACTGCAATTTTATGTTAAGGGAAAGGAAAAGGCGCAAAACTTCCTCCTTTTAGTAAGACGTTGGTAGTTTTGTTTTGTTTTTTCACAAGATTAATTGATTATATTTGGCTCCAGCCTCCTCTCTAATTTAGTCTGCAGAAATAGTTCGTGTTATTAGAAACAGGCTAATTGGCAGATTGTTTGAGCTAGCACCACATATGTATCATCTTATTTCAAATTAGATATTTCCCCCCTGCAGATAATGATTATTTGCTGAAAAACAGCAAAAAAAAACCCAACCTCCAGGTTTCTGGCTGATGAATAAATTCGTAATGAAGCACATTAACTCATTAGGAGAGTAATTGTGAAAGCTTATGTGCATCTGAGAACAGTGGTCTAGATAATTGCAGTATATGGTACCTGCAGAGTATTTCTTAAGTGCCTTACCTGCATCCCATGCTACCTGCTGCCTGTGTTTTTCAGAAGACACAGGCATGTGCTCTGCTGTTCTACAATCTATGGAAAATGCATTTGGGTAAAGGCAGAATCACAGTTTGAGGAAGGGACCATACCTTGAATTGTTCCTTTCCTAATTGCATCTTTTTCTCAGAAACAGAGACATGTGAATCACCCTGAACAAATACGCTTACTTCAGAGTTTGTAATAACCTTTCTTTCAGATACGTTTGGTCAGATCGCAACGTTCTCAGCTATGGTACAAATTGAGCACCATTTCTTTCACTTGGCTTCTCTAGCTCAGAAAGAAAAGATCTTATGATATTCTGCCCACTCACTATAACCCCAAGCTGGCTGTTTTGTAGATGTACACACAAAAGTTCTTTAGTCTTGTTGAAATCCTTGTTGATTGGTGTTAGAGAAGGACAATATCTGCTCTCTCTCACACACACACACACACACCCCAGAAATGAGTCAAGCCATTGCCTGTAATTGGAACAAAAAACCACAGAAAATATCTCAACCAACCAATTCAAATTAGTTAATCCTGTAAATGTCTCCCTTCCACTAACCAACTGACTCAGGCTCCTTTTATCTTACCACTTACTAGGCTGCTGCATACACACTAATCATTTAAAGAATTTTCCTGCTCCTACTTAAAAAAAAAAATTTCTGGGAACTGTAGTTCAAGGGTGCTGGGAGTTCTAGTTCTGGGGAGGCTCACCTGGCGCTTTCATTTAATATCTTTAGACACCAGGTGAAACTGTTTCTTTATAACCAGGCCTTTGGCTGGTCAACATTCTGTGGCCTTTTAAACGTGCGGGAAGGGGTTTTTTGTTCTAGTATGCATTTTGGGTTCCCATTTTGTAAATTACCCTGTTATCTTCAGATGAAGGGCAGAACGTAAATCAAATCAATGAATAAATAAGCAACAGTTTCCAGGATTCTTTGGGGTACATTTGTGTGTGGGGGTTTTATTATTATTATTTTAATGTATGGCATGAAGGGAAATAATGAGGCTGCCATCTTGAAAATTACTGTGGATGTGGGTTGGGGGCCACCCTGAAAGAGACCCTTTGGGCTCCACCAGCTATGCAGAGATAAAAGATTATGCCAGGAATGGAGAGATTGTGATTATACCTTCAGCCACTGCCTCCTCAGCATGTCTGGTATTCATGTGTTCACAGGAGCATCTGCCCAGAAACTAATGGAGTGTCCTGGAGTGTCAACACAAGGGGGCTTGTGAAGAAGGCGCAGCAGAGACTGTACTTTTTGAGAATTCTAAGGAAAAACCCTCTTCCGCAGAAACTGCTGCTTGCCTTCTATCACTGTGCCATTGAGAGCGTGCTCACTTATGGCTTATGTGTGTGGTACGGAAGCTGTACTACTCAGGACAGGATGGGGTTGTGCAGAGTTGTTAAGGCAGCAGAGAGCATTGTTGGCTGCTCACTCTCCACCTTAGAGCAGATTTATGCCACAAGGTGCCATAGGAAGGCACTGGACATAGTAAAAGATCCATCGCATCCTGGTCACTGTCTCTTCGAGCTCCTGCCGTCGGGACGGAGATACAGGACGATGAAGACAAGAACGAGCCGTCTTAAGAACAGCTTCTTCTCCAGAGCGATCTCGGCCCTGAATGGAAAGCCTGGACTTTGAAAGTCATCTAATCTTCCTTGCTGTACTATACTGTATTGTTTTAATTAGGGTTTTTATGGAGCAGTCAAGTAATTTCGTTGTCCCCGAGAGGGGGTAATGACAATAAAGATATTATTATTATTATTATTATTATTATTATTATTCACAAAGATTATGATATGTGTGTGTTTTTGTGTCTATGTTTATCTGTGAGCCATCCTCACCCCTTTCTCAGCCCTGTGAACATTGAATCTACACTGGCCCAATTGAAACAAATCATGTAAGGCGAAATCTATTAAAAGTCTGGGAAACTTTAATCAGTAATGCTGTTTGGAGTCCCCCAAATACTGAAAAGTTCACGTCTTGCTTGTTCTAAGAAAACAAAATACAGTGGTACCTCGGGTTAAGTACTTAATTCGTTCCAGAGGTCCGTTCTTAACATGAAACTGTTCTTAACTTGAAGCACCACTTTAGCTAATGGGGCCTCCTGCTGCCACTGTGCCACTGCCACACAATTTCTGTTCTCATCCTGGGGCAAAGTTATTAACCCGAGGTACTATTTCTGGGTTAGCAGAGTCTGTAACCTGAAGCCTATGTAACCTGAAGCATCTGTAGCCCGAGGCACCTCTATAGCCATAGAAAAATCTAGTGGCGCAGCCCGAAAACTGCTAGCACATATGCAAAGCTAATCAGGATGTGGTATGGTTTCTAGTTGATTAGGCAAAGATTTCTGCATCACAGGGGGTTGGACTAGATGACCCCCCGGGCACCCGTTGCAACTCTACCATGATACGCTTCCGTTTGCTTGTTCTTTGCATTTATCGGTCGCCAGCTAGCCTAGTCCTCTGGGCGATGCACAGCACAAACAATCAAGTAACACAAGGCATAGTAATCACATAATTTCTACTATGGACTTAGCTATATAGCTAGAAATAATACCTTTTAAGCGTGTTTAAAGTGCAATATACAATGTGACACGAGTTGGCAATGATGAGCCTTATGGAAAATTCAATGTATTTTTAAAAAAATGCTTTAAAAAGTATTTTCAGAACAGTTTTTATATCCGTGTAGATTCCACCCAGGAGCCTTTTCCCACCCTAGCCGGAGGCATTGACATGCTGTGATCAGGGCTGGACTTAGGTTTGATTATCTTTCTCTGCCTCATTATGAAACTAATGAGGCCTTTTTGTTGTTGAGATTTTCACTTGTGCGAATACATTACTAGACACTCAAGCGTCTATTTCTTGGCTATCAGTGGCCATCAGCTGTAGAATTGGTCAGAAGTTTTTATCAAAAATATTTATGAAGAGCATATAGCTGAACAGTGTGAATGTAGAAGTTGCAGTAGATGTATAGCCATTATGGTCAGGGCCGGATTTAGGTTTGATGAGGCCCTCAGCTACTGAAGGTAATGGGGCCCTTAATATGTCCTGCAGTTCTTTGTCAACAACAAATTGTTGGGGTCCATTTCTTACATCATAGGAGCCTACACAACACAAAACACTGTTGTTGTATGTAGGTTTTATTTTATTTGTTTTTTATCTTTTATTTTGGAAATGTACATCCAGTTTTTCCCCCCTTTGATTTTTTTGGGGCCCCCAAGAGAGTGGGGCCCTAAGCTATAGCTTGTTTAGCTTATACTTAAATCCGGCACTGATTCTGGTGACAGTTGTGTATGTGGATGAAGGGTCTGAACATGGCAGGGACCTCTGCAAAGGCATTGCATATCTTTGTCTACTCTATACGTTGCACTCTCCCTGCTGTGCAGTAATCAGGAAAAAAACTGGGCCTTCCAACAGAAGAAACAATGGTTCAAGGGTGGGACAAGTTTCAAGGTAGTCTGCTGAACCCAGGGCCAGCCCAAGGCATTTCGACGCCTGAGGCAAACCACAAAATGGCACCTCTCCCCCCACCAGGGAAGGAGTGAGTGAAGCTCTACATCAGGAACAAGCAGAGAATAAAGATCTATACTGGGATTTGATGGCCCTGTAGATCCTGCTGCCAATTGCTGCATCTTGCCTCATGTGTGGGACAGCCCTAGCTGAACCACCATTAAACTGTAACTATTTTGTTAGCTAAAAATTGGAAAACCCAAGAATTACCATCAATAGAAGAATGGGAGATGAAAATGATGGATTTTTCGGAGCTAGCCAACCTAACCGGAAGAGTCCGCGACCAGAAGGAGGAGGAGTATCAAGAAGAATGGAATAAATTTAATGATTATTTAGTTAAATTTATTAAGGTAAATTAACTGGAAATAGCTTGCAGATAGTTAATGGGCTTAGGATTTTATTTATGTTAAGTGATGAAAGAATATGTTTAACTCTATCAGGTGAAGATTTAAGGATAATTTAATGTTTAAGTTAAATTTCATAAAAATTGGGATTTGGAAAACCGTTAAAAGGACATGCAATGTAATTCAACTAAGGGGAAGCGAGGAAGTCACTTAACAAAGTTAATAACTGTCATTTTCAATAAGGCTATGATTTATGTTTGTTTTGTTTGTTTGTCTTGTGTGTTTGTTTGTTTTTATAATATTGTGAAAACCAATACAATTTTTTTTGGGGGGGGGAAATAAACTACAGTATAAGCTATAGAGCCTATTACAACTGTGATAGATTGCATAATATTTGTTATTATCGAATTACCAAACAAAAATAATAAATGGAATGACAAACTTTGTACACACACACACACACACTCCCTCCCTCTCCCAAAACTTGCCATATTGCTTTGAGGTTCTGACTGCTGTGAGATTCCTGCATTGCAGTGGGTTGGACTAGATGACCCCAGGATCCCTTTTCCAACTCCTATTATTCTCTTGGCCAAAGGGGAGAAAGGGGCGGTTCCCAATTAGAATTGATGAGATTAAGAAAGATGACCAAACCTTGTTCCAATATGCAACGGCAGCGGCTAGGATACTGTTAGCGCAGAATTGGAAAACACCTAACATCCCAACAATCAGAGAATGGCAAACCAAGCTATTTGAATACACAGACCTAGCAATGATGACACAGAAGATCAGGCATCAGAAAAACACCAAATTTATTAATGATTGGAGTAAATTTATTTTATACATGGAAACGAATCTAGGAAATATTAAAATCACAGTAGGCGTAATATAAAACCTGCGAGGTAGAGACAATGGTTGTAAAAGGACACTGCAGATGATAATATTGAGACATAGCTCAAACCGTGGTGGAGGGAAGTCATACTAATGCTATAGTATGGATTAATGTTTTAGTATATAGTTTACTTATGTTTTATGTAATTTTGTTTCTGTTCTTCTTTGCTGTTTTTGATATGCCTGTGGATTTGTGTTTTCTTTTATATGCTGGAATAAAATAAAATTAAAAAAAAAATAGAATTGTCCCTCCCTCTTCCACTCCTTCTATGCAGGTGGCATCCAATGAGAAGAGAGATGACTTGTTCTAATTCGGCTGCTGGGAGAGAGAAAAGTCCCCATTGGTCAACCTGGGACGGGCAGAGCAAGGGATGGGCTTTGCATGCGGGACAGTTAGACAAATGAGGGAAAGGAAAGCAGGTAAGTGGTTGGGGGGCTTAAGTGGGGGGAAGGGGAAGAAAATGAAGAGGAAAAGGTGGGAATGGATGCATGGGGGGCCAGAAAAGAGAGGGAAAGGGTTTAGAAGAGAGGGCCAGGCGGGTAGTTTGCCTTCCCTGAAATGGTTTTTTTTAAAAAAAATTATTATTACTATTATTATTATTATTATTATTATTATTATTATTATTATTATTCATTCAGTCATATATTCATCCATTTATTCCCCGCCCCTCTGGCTGGGTTTCCCATGCAACTTTATTCTTCTTATCATAAGTTAAACTTGTTAAGTCGCTTTTATCTTGCAATCCGGAGTGACTCGCAAAATCGGGTTGGGGGAGAGAAAAAGGAGGGTATGGCTGCATGTGGGGGCCAGAAAAGAGGGAGAGGGTTTAGAAGAGAATGGGTTAATAATAATAAATAAAATAAATAAATAAACTAATAAATAATAATAGTAAAAAAATAAATAATAAATTAAATAATAAATTAAAAACAAGATAAATTTTATTTATTTATACCCTGTCCCTCTGGCTGGATTTCCCATGCAACTTTTATTCTTCTTACCATTTGTTAAACTTCTTAAGTCACTTTTTAATCTTGCAATCCGGAATTGGACTTGCAAAATGGGTGCAAAACCTCTTGCCTGACACGGGGTTGAGCTAGATGACCCCCGGGTTCCCTTTCCCACGACTCTGCAATCCCAGGACACCCTATGGAGAGAAAAAATGCCTGGTTTTTCTGCTTGGTTGCATGCAATTAACTCTGAACGGTCAATTTAATCTTGTGAGCCGCACCGTGGTTTCAGGATGATATATAAATCCAAGAAACAAAAAATGATGGCGAACAATTGTTTTGCCCCATAAACCGGCCAAGGTTTATGCAGTGGTTTTGCAGTGTTGCGCTTGCCAAACCACCGCAGTTTGCCCTCCAAGTTAAATTGTTATTTATTAAATTTGTACACCGCCTTTCAAACCTAAGATCACAAGGCGAATCTCAACATAAACAAAAAACAGAAACAGGAAATGCATTGAAGGACAACAAACCAATAATTTAACCCCATACCCTCTTCTCCCATTTGGTTGCCTTTTAAAATTTAAAAAATAAAATGGCAGTTGCATCTCCCTCCCGGAAGCCATTTTGGGACAGAACAACACAAAATGGATGCAATGAAGATATTGTTCCTGCCAGCCCCAAATCCCCAGTAGTGACAATGGTCACCATGCCGGGTGGATGAAAATCAATTATTTAAATCAGATTTATTTATTTTTTGGTATTTAAATCGGATTTTTAAAACAAAATGCTTTTGGAAGAAAAATCCTTCTAAAGATAGTTTTCTATTTAAGTTACATTATAGTCCAAAGGCTATAATGAAAAGAAGGGTTAGTTTTTTAAGTTTTTCATGGGTGCTAAAACTCAGTCTAAGGGTTTGGTTTTTTAAAAAAAATCTTTTAACCACATCAGTTAACAAATGTGGATACATATGCTGTGATGTTATTGTTTTAGTTAAATAAATTGTTCTCAAGAAAATGATTATTTTCCCCCTTCCGATAAAGTGCAGCAGAAAAGTTGTCCAAATATAAACAGTTGACTTATTAAACCTCATGATAATTTCATAATTATGTCTATGTATTTCTAATAGTAAAACCAAATCAGTATTTTTTAAAAATATAACTGTAAAAACTACTCTGAAAGTTTATTATTCCAATAATGAAACGTTCATCTGGTTGTAAATATTAAGATTATACCAGCAAGAATGAGTCTTACTGTAAAAGAATGATTTAAATCAAGTCTTACTGACTAGTGATTTAAATTGAACCCCACAATTATTATTAGTTTTTTTGGGGGGGGTCTCTGTGCACTTGCCATATGAGTGTTATGTACTGAGTTGAATTTGTTCATTCATTCGTTCAGCCTTTATGGGCATAATTTAAGACAAAAAAAAATCGCAAAAGGGACAGAAAACAAGCGAACCATCCATAAAACATTCACAATCCAGACATATTAAACACATAAAATATAAAAGAATTTGTCAGCAGAATAGGGAGGACACTCCAGAGAGGAGGCCGTTTTAAAAAGGGAGTCACAGGAAAATTTATTAGATTTATATAACACCCTTCATCCTAAAATCACAGGATAGAAACAGAAAGACTCATTCTTGCTGGTATAATATTAATATTTACAACCAGATGAAGGTTTCATTCCCCAGAGTGGGTGGGGAAACCCAGCCAGATGGGTGGGGTATTAATAATGATGATGATGATGATGATAATAATAATAATAATAATAATAATAATAATAATAATAATAATAATAATAATATTTTTTATTATTCTTAATAAAATACTTTAATATTTTATTATTTAATTTAATATTTAATAAAATATTTTAATATGTTTATTAATAATTATTATTATTTTGGAATAATAAATTTTCAGAATAGTTTTTACAATTACTTAAAAAAATTACTGATTTGCTTATACTATTAGAAATACAAAGACAGGTTTTTATGAAATTATTGTTTATATTTGGACAACTTTTCTGCTGATGAATAGCCTTTGGACTATAATGCAAGTTAAATAGAAAAGTATCTTTAGAACAATTTTTCCTCCAAAAGCGTTTTATTTTAAAAACCTGATTTAAATTTTTAAAAATCCATTGTGTTGGGGTTTTTTTATAAATAAATAAATAAATAGCACACATTGCTTTTTATCCACCCTGATGGTAAACTTTACATTGTGGAGAACACTTTCTTCTCCCTGATTCCTAGTTTTCTGTGTACAGGGATATTATTGATAATAATTAATGGGGGAAGGGAAATAAGTCATGTCGACCCAAACCTGGCACAGCCCAGACACAGATTTTGCTGTAAAGTACTTTGCAGAGTTGTGCAGAGGGTTGTTTGACCCGTTTAAATAGTTCTCTTTTTCCCTCCTAGAAAAAACAAACAAACAACACACACTTTGTTTTAAAGTTTAAAAATAACATGATTTTTAGTTGCCGTACTTGGCCCTGGTCTGACTGAATGCACAAGAGAGGCATGTAATATTTACATTACTGAAACATATTTACATGAAGTATCTGAGACCGACTAATATTTACAGGCTGGCTCTGAGGTAGCAACACTGGCTGCTCTCACAGTTAAAACTTGCTTCGAATGTAAAAGACTGTAAACCAAGAAAACCTTTAATAGAAATGATTATTATTACTTTAAAAAAAAACACACACACACCTCACACAACAGTTGAAAGTAAAGGAGTCTGCAGCCTGAAAAAAAGGAGACAACGCATGTACTTTTGTAAACCAAGATAATCTTTAATAAAAAAAATACTGTTGTTATTATTATTATTATTATTATTACTTAACTTTTTTGGGAAAAAAAAAACCTCACAACAGTTGAATGTGCAAGAGTGCAGCCTGGAAAAAAAGAGACAACACGTGTACTTTTGTAAACCAAGAAAATCTTCAATAAAAAATACTGTTGTTATTTTAAAACAAAAACAAAAAAAAAACCCTCACACAACAGTTGAATGTAAATGAATCTACAGCCTGAAAAAAGAGACAACGCGTGTACTTTTGTAAACTAAGAAAATCTTTAATAAAAAAAATACTTATTGTTTTAAAAAACCTCACACAACAGTTGAGAACAACTAACGAAAAAAACCTGACTCAGTTTATGTCCCCCCAACATTCTAGGCTACAGCATTAACCCTTTCCGTAGTATTTTGATTGCGCCATTGCCACAGATTGGGCAGTGAAGCGCATTGATTGAATTCTCTTAGGGCATATCTAGCAAATACTTTAGAAAATATTCTGAGCTTCCCAAAGAATCTCTTGGTGACTTCGCCTTCCTGGTCTCTACTTTCCCCATTATTTTAATCCGTCCGTCTCCGTCCCGTGGATGCAAAGCAATCCGTTTTATCCCGATGCGCTACGTCGGCTGTCGCACCCATTGATTTGCGGGAAATTTGGCCGCGACCTTGACTTTCTGCGTAACGCAAGACAGCAACCTGATGTTGCGACAATTATTGGCAAGGCTTTTAAGACAAGAAATGTGCTTGGCTCCCATTACCACCCCCCTGTAATATCACTTAACAGAACCCACCAGTGGCATTTAAATTACGAGCTATGTGTTAAGGTTAAATAAGCGGATGGACAAGCGATTGTTTTAAAATGAAAGGTGCTGATTTTCGGGAGACGAGCCATCTGTGAAACATTCAGGTGGGAAATACTTCCTTGTGGCTTACTGACCTTATAGCACTAAGCAAGTGAAAGAAGGAAACTTGCTTAATATAGAAAAGGTGCAGGACAGAAGCAATTGTCCTAATGCACATCTGTTATAGGAGGAAATTAGCAGCTGGCCAGAGGTTAGTCAACCAAGTGCATTCAAAGGACTGTCAACCAAGCAGCAGTGTCAGGTGGGAGATTTTAGTCAATGAAAGGTTGAGCCAACTATAGAGCACCCAAGGGTGGAAACGAAGTTCTGTAAATTAGTCTTGTCTCTCAAAAGTGGCAATCAAAAGCTAGACTTCAACTCCCTTCCTTAAAAATGTTTCAGGACTGAAGCAAATCCCCGTTTGATGTATCTTTTATCATTTCTATGATTTATTTATATATTGGATTATTCCGAGAAGGACTGAAAGGATTTGATCTCTCCTGTTGGCAGGAAAATGAATTAATAAATTATAGCCCACTTAACTGGAAATCATCTGTCTCCTGTCCAATTTCCAACAGAATTAGCCTCCCTGCTTTGACTACTCAAAGTTTTTCTCTCGTGTGTGTGTGTGTGTGTGTGTGTGTGTGTGACATTACTGGTGTTCTGGAAGAACTTTCCTTTTTACTGACCAAAAGGAACCTAGCCAATTAGATAGCTTCTGTGTGCTAGATTTTTTTAATGCAAATTTAATTAAGTTTTAAAATGTTTAAACTTAATTGATCACCAAGTGATCAGTGTCACACCCTATTGGCCCTATTGATGTTTTGAGTTTTTAACAGTGTAATCTAATGTATGCCTCATTGGGCTTACTTCCAGGTAGGTTTGTATAAAAGTTGGTATGTCACCAGCATACCTCCATTTGACTTAAAATGAATTACTACAAGGCAATATTTAATGGCTGTGGTTGGGCAAAGCATCCTTATCAGGGATAGCTTATGTGGCGTCCACCAGATGCTACAGTTTCCATCGTCTTGGCCAATTATGGCTGGAGCTAATGGGAATTTTTAGTCCCAATAAAAACTGGAGAAAGACACCACATCTACCTCTGAAAGCTATTATGTATTTTATTGTATTAGACACTGCTGGAATCCACTGGCTGAAACATGATGATATGTCCTCCATTGTGACAACTCCTACTGCTGGTTTTGCCGCCAGGAAAATGTGGTAAGAGCAACTTTCAGGTGAGCAAAGGGAGAGGGGACGGGTTATTGTGCAACAGGAAATTGTTGGATTATTTAGAATGTGCACGTACATCGTTATATTTAGCTTATACATCAGGAAAGAGTTGAACAGTTTTGAGTGCTCCAACATTTTTTATTTTAGATTACAGATTTTACAGTAAATAATTACAGTTTTTAATACCTGTAGCTCTCTGTTCTGTCCCTGTCCAGTCTTCAATGGAAATGAGGTAGCCAATCTTTGTAAGTTAGCCAATTAGAGGAAATCTTGAGACAGGAAAGTTTGACACCCATGCTAGGAATGAGGTGTATGCTTAATTCAATTGGACTTGAATTATGAGTAGACTTACTTCTGAGTAGACACATTTGGAATTGAATCCTGCGTTAGTAAGACTCTTCGGTGCAACTGATTTGGGCCTCTTGATGGGCCACTAAATATTTACCGTATTTTTCGCCCTATAGGATGCACCTAGTTTTTTTTTGGGGGGAAGGGGAATAAAGAAACCCCCCCCCCCCCAGGCACAGGGCTGGCGCGGGGGAAGCCCGAGCTTCCCCTGACCCCAGCCCCCAGAACAGCCTGCTATCCGCAAGCCTAGGGAGCCGTGCCGGTTTCCCCAGGCTTGCGGACAGCTGTGCGAAGCCCGCGCGCTCTTCAGTGCGCCTGAGGCTTCGGAATGCAGGCAGCTCTGCGCAACCCTCCGGAGCCCGGCGCCAAGCCGCGCCGGCCTCTGGAGGGTCGCGCAGAGCTGCTCGGACCCCAGGAGGGCAGGCAGCTCTGCGCCTTCGCGCCGGGCTCCGGAGGGTTGCGCAGAGCTTCCTGAAGCCTGGAGAGCGAGAGCCTCTCGCTCTCCAGGCTTCAGCAAAAGCCTGTATTCGCCCCATAGGACGCACACACATTTCCCCTTCATTTTTGGAGGGGAAAAAGTGCGTCCTATAGGGCGAAAAATACAGTACTTTGAAAAGACTTCCCTTGTATCACATAAACACAGCACAACAAGACAAGGACCTATCCCTCAAACAGCATACAAATCAATATGGCTAATCTGACTCAACAACCTGCCCCTGCCACCCTGCTGCCCCTCACACACGCATACAAATCACAATACAACCAACCGAACACAACCAGCTATGGTTTGGACTCTCCAATCTCTCGCAGAGCTAATAAAAGTGAATAAATAAACAAACTGTGGGAAAGACTATGAACTGAAAGAGGAGTCGCTGTATGTACTTTTCCTTGTTTATTTGTTTTGTAACAAAATCTTTAATAAAAAACTTTTTTTAAAAAAAAGAAAAGACTATTCAAAAAACAAACACCATGTGAAGCAGCAGGGAGCACTTCAGAGTGAAATCACACAGTCAACACAATACTTAACAGCCTGTTGTATTTGTATCTAGACTTCAGCAGAGGGGAGCCAATTCTGCTTCCGTGAATGCATGATGGCCCCAGACATTGCTAACTTCACACCCCCATGTGTTTGTAACGATTTAGAACCCTAGGGGACCATTCCTCCCCAATCAGGGATGGAACTAATCTGTTATTTCGAAATAATCTATTTTTCAAAAGATTGCTCTCAAGGCCGGTTTAAATACATGAAGCGAAACGGCTTCCCTTGAAGGCTCTCTTGACAGGACGCCTTCAGTCGGTCCAGCTCCTTGCTGCCCTCTCCACAAGATGCTCATGGTAGGAATTTCAGTTGTCATCTGCCCCAAATTCAGTGAAGCAATATAGTTTGTGAAGACAACCCAGTCCAATTTATCTTTTCCCCATTCTGTCCTAGGTTTCAAATCTCTTTTTTTGACCTGTTGTCGCAACCCTAAAGTCCATCCCCTCATCTACCGGGAGGAAGAGGCACAGATCCGGGTGCCTCCAGAACAAAGGGACGGGTGGTATCTGCTCTGTTTCATCACGTGACAAATGACATGACCGATGAAAAATTGTTGCGGTGACAGAGAATCGGGGTCTTTGGGAAAGAAGCAGGCAGGTCGCTGATTCAAGAAGACTTGAGTAACGTCCCTTTTGAAGAAGAAAAATCATCTTGTCTCTTCTCTCTGATTCATTTAGCCGCTTGATTCTGCCATTAATTTCTCAGTCAAGAAGCCTAACCAGCAAAGGCATCGTGTATCTCGAAGGATGATGAAAGGTGTCATTACTGCCTTCCTTGATGCTACTGAAGTGAAAATGTAGCGCCGAGTCAGTTTGGTGCTGTAGTTAGAGCAGGGCCCACCAATTTAGTGTACATGTATTTGCAGAGACTTTCCACTGAAATTAGGCTTGAAACAAGTGTTTCTGGGTAGCAAATAGAATAGGTTGTGCTGTGTGGACATCCTTGCTTTGTGATGTAGTGCCCGCATCTATAAAAAGAAAACTTATTTTAACCACTAGTTTGTGACATTTTGGTTGATCCTAATAAAGTTATTTATAAACTTACTCTGGCTTTTGGGTCCCCCCCCCCCCTCTAATGGATCAGTCAAAGTAACTACAATTATTGAACTCATTCCACAGTTAAAAATAGTTGCATGCCCTTCGTTATATGAAGGCATGCTGACGTGCAGCCGAAACCTATGCATGTCCATTCAAAGGGTAGGTCCTATTGCAATCACTGCTGCTGATCTCAAAGCAAATATCTGCAGGATCATAGCTGTGCTTTTAAGGAACAGCCGCAAAGAGGAAGAAAGTTCTTTTGCATCTTTTACTATCATTTCTCAGTCACACTTCAGGCACCTACAAAATCCCATAAGACTCGAGTTTTAGTTACTATTTTAAATTAGGAAAATGAGGGTGTGAGGTACTTTGATACCTCCTCTGATGTTTACCTGCCTTGACCTATGCATCTCAAAGAGAATAAACTCAGCAGTGTAAAATGCTCTCCCCATTTAATTAATGTACTACTTGGCAATTAATAGCTTGCCACTCCAGGATTGCTGCTGCTGATAGCGCTAGGAAAGCAGGCATCCCTCATCCTCCAGGCTTCGACTTGATACAATCCCCTCCTGGTATTTTATAATAAAATGTAAACAAAAGCCACACCTTGATCAACAGCAGTAGATAGCCTAAACGAATGCAGCTTCATGTTTTAAACTCCCTTAAGCCACCATTATTTCTGCTCATTTCCAGATTTGGGCAAGTCATTCCCAACTCAGCCTAACCTGCCTCACATGGCTATGGAAACGAGGTATAAAAAGACTGCAAAAGGGGAACTTACTGTTTGTATGGTAGGCATCAAATTTTGGTCCCTTTAACCTAGAGAAATGCATATTTTTTAAAAAATAAAATAAAATGCTATTCTTTCTGTGGCCCCTTCACCCTGCAAATTAGTACAGCTCCAAGGCTTCAGCCAGTCTTAATTTGTCCTGAGTTCTGCAAGATTTAAATAATTCCACTTGTATTCAATTGAGTATTTTTGCCCCAGTTGCTCACTTAAACAAGCATACCCCTGCTTCCATGGACCACTGGTCTGCCCCAACAACAAAACCACCAAGATAACTTGGAGAACACTTAGAAGGGTATGCATTTTGTGTCTTGGCTTTCCTTTCAGGTGGCAAGCAACTTTTTATTTTTAATGAAGGCTCTAGAGTTCAGGCTCCCTATCTTAAACAAGAACAGAACTGTTAACAGGAAATTCTGGACTCCAACCAAATACAATTAAACCAGGCCCCACAAATAACCCAGAGATGCATTTTAAATAAAAGGACACATTCTACTCATGTAAAAGCACAGTGATTCCCAGACCATCTGCAGGCCGGATTTAGAAGGCGATTGGGCCGGATCTGGCCCCCGGGCCTTAGTTTGCCTACCCATGGACTAAACCATATAAGAAGTCATGCCACCCTAATCGGCACAGTAATGATTATACTTGGGGCTACATCTGAAGACAGTTTGGAACTGTCAACTGGTGCAGAATGAGTGGCCAGAGTGCTCACAGGTAAGAGTTTCAGAATATTATCCTTCACATCTGCAGTACATGGACCGTTGCTTTGCCTTGGTAATGGACTGGGTGTGGTGGACTTGTGGCAAGGTAAAAAGATTCTGGGAGTTAATCTATAATGAACTTAAAAAGATATTTAAGCATACTTTTCCTAAAAGACCAGAGGCATTTTTGCTAGGTCTGGTGGGAAAAGAAATTAAAAGACCAGAACTTGTTCATGTACGCCACAGCCGCCGCAAGAACTTTACTGGCCCAAAGATGGAAAAAAACAAGATTTACCAACCATCCAGGAGTGGCAGGTGAAGATGATAGATTTTGCAGAGCTTGCCAAATTGACAGGAAGAATCCGGGACCAAGAGGACCAGAGATACAGTAACAATTGGAATAAATTTATTGAATATATGAAGGAGAACAACAAAAATATTAAAATACTAGCAGGACTGGAATAACACCGCCAATGTAAAACAGTAGAGTTATGACAATAATATACGCAAAAAGTATGTGATGTATATACCAGCCGTTGGGAGGGAGGGAAGTCAGGACTCGGCAGAGTCAAAGGGATTATAATGTGACAACACAGTATATGTAGGGCAGCCTCTGAAGATGGTTTGGAAACCTGAGCTGGTGCAGAATTTGGCCAGGCTATTCACTGGGCTAAGATGGTTTGAGCACGTTTCACCAGTCTTGGCCCAACTGCATTGGCTCAGTTCAAAGAGCTGGTATTGTCCTATAAAGCTTTAAACAGCCTCGTATGAACCGATCAGGGCCCTGCAATCATCATCTGGGTTCCTTCTTTATGTGCCACTTCCATGATAGGTCAAGTGCGCAGCAACATGAGAAAGAGCCTTTTCTGTGGTGGCTCCCTCCCCTGGCGCCTTCATTACATATCATTAGTGCCAAGTTAAAACGTTTCTCTATAACCAGCCCTTTGCCTGATTAAACAGTCTATGGCCTTTTAAATATGTTTGTTGGAGGGAGGGGGTTTTGATTAGTTATGTATTTTGTGTTCTCATTTTGTTTTTTTATGTTGTGCACCAGCCTGCTGTCTTCGGATGGAGGGTGGTACGCAAGTTTAATAAATAGTAAAATTTATTAAATACTGTGTTTGGTCTTAAAGACTCCTGAGCATGCTGGGGTGCTAATCCCAGTGAAAAAAAGACAGTCACGGACCCAAGAAATGACACAGAATGAAAGAAATTACCGTGAAAATCCCTGAAACGAGAAGTAATCGACTATAGAATAACAAAAATCAAAAAATAAACTAGAATTAAACAAAGACTTAACGAGATGCCGGTTAAGTGATATCAAACAAGCTCAAGAGCATGGCTGAAAATGCTTCAAGTTTACAAAGAAGGTATGAAAACCTCAATGACAAGTTTTAAACAGCCCTATTTAAGATAATCCAGCAGTAGTGACAAGAAATTGAGGTTTTAAAGTTTCAAGCAAACTCAAAAAACAGGGCAGAAACTCAAAAAAGTTTTAAACAAAACCCTATTTAAGAGAACCAAGCAGTAGTAATAAGAAATTGAGATTTGAAGTTTCAAACTCACTCAAAAACGGCCAAGGCGCTCCTGGCTTCTGATGTTAAAGAAAGGTATGAAAACCTCAATGACAAGTTTAAAATACAGGCCTATTTAAGAGGACCAAGCAATAGTAATTCCAAAATTAAGGTTTGAAGTTTCAAACAAACTCAAAAACAGGGCAGAGACTCAAACAAGTTTTAAGCATAGCCCTATTGAGAAATTGAGGTTTTAAGTTTCAAACAGACTCAAAAACAGCTGAAGAGCTCCTGACTGCTGATGTTAAAGAATGATATAGGGTGTTCCCAATCACAGGTTTTTATACTGTAAGGTGAAAGAATTTTTAAAGGGACAGACCATCTAGTTCAAACATAGGGCGTGGTTGCCAAAGTTTGTAAAGAATAACAAGAATATTGTTTAAATAGAGTTATAAGAGATTACAAAAAGGAACTAGTCAATATAAGAGTTGAGACCTGACGGAATTAAGGGACCAAATCTAAAAATCCAATACATTTCCCTCTTTAGTAATTTCTTTCTTAAAATATCAGTATTTCTCTCAGGAGTTTGATGTTTATAAATGATAAACCATCTGAAATCTGTTGCTCTGTTTTTGAGTTTGTTTGAAACTTCCAATCTCAATTTCTTATTACTACTGCTTGGTTCTCTTAAGTAGGGTTTTGTTTAAAACTTTTCTGAGTTTCTGCCCTGTTTTTTGAGTTTGTTCGAAACTTTAAAACCTCAATTTCTTATCACTACTGCTGGATTATCTTAAATAGGGCTATGTTTAAAACTTGTCATTGAGGTTTTCATACCTTCTTTGTAAACTCAAGGAAGCATTTTCAGCCTTGCTCTCGGGGTGCTAATCCCAGACTGTTTGTAGTTGTACAATTCAGATCTATTTAGGAATGCTCAGCAATTCCAGCCAGGTATTTGAAATGAATTCTCTTTAATAAAACCCACACAATCCAAGAATAAGTCTGGGTATATATGCAGAGTTTGCCATCAATTCCACTTAAAGTAGAAGCATATCCCATACAGTAAAATATACATGGCTGTATAAGCAATTTCTTTGCTAGCAATTGAGATCTAATCAGTATATTTGAAAAGAAAATTATGGTTCTCATTTGGGGAAAAGCCATGTAAGCTTGATGGGGCTCGTAGAGAAATTTAGCTCCCTGCTGGGGAAGCTTGTAAAAACGTATAGATGCTTGGGAAAGGTTTTGTTTTCATTTTCTACATGTTGTGTTTAATGTATCTAAATAGTGATGTATTCTGCAGTGATGTGGAATCATGAGGCTGCTGTACCTGCCTAACAACAGTAGACTTTACATTCGGGCTTACAAGCTATAACCTTTCCCCGGGGGAGATTAAATCAATTATCATATATAAAGGTAGGATTTCTGATGTGCACAGTTTGGAGATTTTTTCTCTCTTCAAGTTATGGGCAATAAACCAGAGGAATGATTTATGCAGTGCAAGAGAATCATGTCTGTACTCTCAGTATGCCTAGAGAGACCTCTGCAAAAAAAAATTCTGCAGACTATTCCTGGGCACTCCAGTGTCTCAAAGCAGCATCTAGCTCACTTGTGATATAATAATAATAATAATAATAATAATAATAATAATAATAATAATAATAATAATTATTATTATTATTATTATTATATTATTATTATTATTATTATTATTATTATTATTATTATTATTATTATTATTTATATCCCGCCCTCCCCAGCTGAAGCCGGGCTCAGGGCGGCTAACAACAATAAAATAATAAATTCTAAAATGATTTCATTATAAAATCAATTCAAATCAGATTAATGGCAACCATTGGGCTAGAGTTCTGTGAGGATTGCCAAAGGAGGGAGTCAGGCTGTGCCTTGGCCAAAGGCCTGGTGGAACAACTCTGTCTTGCAGGCCCTGCGGAAAGATGTCAAGTCCCACAGGGCCCTAATCTCTTGTGACAGAGCGT